ATAATAGCAGCTCGCATGTACCCCATGGGTGAGATCACCCATGGGGCTAACGCATCTGTCGGTTAGAGAAATAAAAACGAGAAATACATCACGTACACACCCTCTCCATTCTGTTATTGCAGGGAAAAACTACCTCGATTCCACCATGAGCTTAGGCATGAGGAAAACTGTTTAAAAGTACAGAATTTTATTTACCAAAAAGATATTTGAACATGATACGTTTGTACATTGATTCACAATGCCGAGCCAAGCTTCCCTGTCTTGGAAAATACATCTACATGTACATGTACATGGAGCTGCCGCTTCGCCAATGGAAACGTTTATTGTCTTTACAAATGTAAGTCATTCTTGATGTTGTCGTTCCATCTGGTTACGGGGCGTCCTCTGGGCTTCTCGATGTCTTTGGTGTCGATTGAAAGTCTTAGAGCTTTGTAGGATGTTGAGTCACTGCCTTCTCTGATTACATGGCCGAACCATAACACGCGCCGTTCACTGCATGCTGTGGTGATAGGTAATTGGTTGGACAGCTTGTATATATTTACGCTTTTAAGTTTTATTCGATAATTTTGGGGATACACTACGCCAAGAATGGATCGTAGTTTGCGGCGATGCCACGTGTCAAGCCTGTTGCCGAGTGCTGCACTGCTGCTGTCAAGGTCCACACTTGTATAAAAGTGTGTATTAATTTTGTATCCCTGGTGGTGGTTTGGCCCGCAGAGCTGTATATACATGTACATGTAATGTTATACATGTACATGTACATGTACGTGTTAAGGGCCTATCCACACTATGTAATAAAAACGGCGTGCCGTTTCAGAGTACGTGACGTACACGCGATGCTCTGTCCACACTGCACTCTGTCACCAGGGTAACTACGTCGTGTACCTGTTCATATTTTCTCTGGATGCCGCGATTGCACAAGGTTTGTATCGCGTAGACCAGGAAAGGACTCCCTGGCTTGGTCTAGACCTACTCAGCTAGCTACAAAACAAGTGGCGGCCCAGCGATGGCAGCACTGACGCCGAGCTCAAGGAATATCACCTTGAACTCTGTTCCAGGTGCGGAAATGTGGCCACCGTGAGACTCTCGCGGCAGCGCAGCGCCAAGGTCGAGGTCCGCTGTAGCATCGCTTGAGGAACCAGTGTTGGTGGCCGCCGTGTATTTCCAGTAAAAGTCCCTGGCTTTGGCCTTCATGTTGTCAATTTTGGTCACAAGAGGGTTCTGCTTCCTCTCCAAACACTTCTTTCAAATCAGTAATCGATCAAATTTTCAGTGAATTCTCCGAGTCTCGCTACTACACCAGAGGCGGATCTAGGGGAGGGCGCAGTGGGCGCGCGCCCTCCCCTCAAATATTTCGATTTTCTTTTTTTTCGTGGGCAGTTGCGCAAGTCACAGTCATACTGTGACAAGTAGTTTCTAGTGTCAGATAAGAAAGTTCTTCTGAACACGGAGTAGTTGTTTGATTATTAGTTTTGAAATTAGTTTTCAGTTGACGAACTTGTATAGCTAAGTCGGTGAAGTGGATGGCGCACCGCCCGCCCAAGCGGCCAGGGAGCCAACAAACTCTCCACGGATTTTTCGCGAAGCGAACTTGCGCTTCGTCAGCTGCTCAGTCAAGCGATCCGTCTTTGGAGGAGAATTCGGACCACAGCGAAGGTCCTGAGATTGAGGTCTGCTCAGACTCTGATCTTCCCCAAATGGAATCTGAAGTAGATTCTGACGACGATGGTGGGACTGTCAGTAGTAGTGATGCGAGTCAGGAGCGTTTAGCTGTTGAAACTATCGCAGATGACGACGTTGTGACTGTCACGAATGATGTGGCTGGTGGCACTGCTACGCAGCATTATTGTTCTCTATCTCAGCATGTCTTGAGCTTTGAAGCACTATCTTTACACAGTTCAATGTAGTACGGCTATGTTCCACTATAGCCAGAGTCCTCAATGCAATGAAGTGGTTGAAAAAGTGGGAGTGAGTGCATGTGCTAAAATAGACATAACCGCTACCGTAGTTCCGCGCATATAAGCCAGTTTGGGGATAAAATATCCAGTAAAACATGTTCGTTTTTTAGCCCATGGGCCAATATTCGAATTTTGAAGGTTCACGAAAAAGTACAAGTCCGTGCTCATAGTGGGTCTACCATACTCTACTGGTAAACTGCACTGACCTGCTGTACCTTGGTAGGAAGAGTCCACATTGTGAAAAAATATTGTTGACACGCGAGTTGCATTTGTGTCTGTTTATAAGCCCATGGGCTTACAAACGGAGGTGGGCTTATATCCGGATATGCCCGTGGGTTTATACGCACGGAATTACGGTAAGCCTGAGACGTAAAATAGCCGCTATGTCGTAATGTGTACAAAGTACATGTACCGCATGGGTTCCCTGTCATGAATATTACCCGCGCCCTCCCCTCAGCTGAACTCTGGATCCGCCGCTGTACACCTTCCTCTTCATCAGACCCCGGGATTTCTCTGCATGTCTAGCCATGACTGTATCAATGTCGCCTCCGAGTGGTCGCTGAAACGGACGTGTGGCAACTCCAAAGCGAAAACAAGCGGCAGCTGGAAACAGCAGGAAAAAACTGTGATCCGAAAACACCATCGACTCCCAATCAACAAACACTGCGAAAACGGCACGTAGATGAGAAACGTGCTTTGTACAGGGGTCCGCGACTCACGTTCCGCGTGAATCCCACGTTCCCCGTTGTCGGCCATTTTTCGTCACTCACCCTGGCAACAAGCATGTTTACGGCGTGTTTACGTGGTTTTCTACCTAGTCTGGACAGGCCCTAAGGGGCCGTCCGTAAATATCGAACTTTTTTCACCAAACGAATTATTTTAGTTTAGACCCAACCCCTCCCTCCCTCCCCCTCAGAACGTAAAAAGTGTTGATATACATGCATATACAACAGCCATGTACATGAATCAATGTTTTCTGAAACGAAATTGGTCAACCCCCTCCCACCCCATAACGAAATTATTTCGTTTTGTGAAAAAAGTTCGATATTTATGGACGACCCCTAAGTGGTGCTTTATGGTACAATCTTCCTCAGTCTACTCAAGCTCAACTGATGAAGGGTGAATTCCACGAAACACTGAGTCTGTGTATCATGGTGTATAGGGCTTGAAAGTGCTACGTCACAGCAGAGCAACAATTTCAAAAATTGGATCCACTTGGATCCAGTTTTTGTATGGATCCAAGCACATTTCAAGCCGTCTTACTCACAGCAAGGTGATGTAACCAGTGAAACTGACTGATTTTGCTACTGGGGGCGGGGTTACAACTGGTGGCGAAGTAAAAGTCACCCGTGCATACGACATGAGTGGGTTGCTATGCACCCACATACTGAGGCAATAGCAAAGTCATACCTTAGTGGATCCAAAATATAAATCTGATGTCAACTTACTACTCCCTGGCCGTTTTTGACGTCATCACTTTCAAGCCCGAGCAGGGAGTGGACGAGTGGTGCTTTCTTGCAGGGTTGCGGAGTGGAAGGTGCGACTTGCTCCTCGTGTGCTCCGGATGGTAGTCTTGAGACAGTCAAGGCTGATCGAACACGATTACGAGTACAAGTGTTTTGATTGCATTTCTGACATGCACCCACGCTTGAAGTACATGTATGGAATCAAGCAAGAGTACGAGTGTGAGATCGCCTAATCACAGCCCGCCGCGCGAAGCGCGAAGGGCTGTGATGTAGGCTGATCGAACACGACTACGAGTGTTTTGATTGCATTTCTGACATGCACCCACGCTTGAAACTCATATCGCACTTGTAAATACTTCGCGAATGGCTGTGATTGGCTGATAGAACATGAACACGACTGTTTTGATTGGATTTCTGACATGAACACGCACTTCGATCTTCCTATCGCGCTTGAAAGCACGACTCTGAACCTTCTCGAGCACCAGTCGAGTAAAAAAAAAGCCAGCTTGATCAGTAAATCTTTGATCGTAAAATCAAAGCCCGCTCCACTAAATATGGAGTTCTACTTCTTGATCTCACACATACTTCAGTTCGTACTCTTGCCGTCTTGGGTTTCGGACTGTGAAAACACGCAGTTCGATCTTCCTTCATATCGCGCTTGCAGTTTGCAAAGCACGACGCAATGCATCTTATCGAGATACTAGATGGGAGACCGGCGCTTCGCGCGGCGGACTGTGTGATGAAGGGCTGCAGAACATCAACAAGACTGTTATGACATGAACAGTAGTTTATACTTCATGATGATGAAGGCCCTGCTAGCCTGAGCACAGTGCAGTAGTGAGCAGTCAGTTCCATGCTTGTACTGTTGTAGTACATGTATTGTGATATGTCAGAAAGTGAATGTACATGTATGCAAGCCACTTGAGTAGGTAATATTTCTCCAGCATTATCATAACAATACTTATTATGTGACACCTCAGAAGTGGAGCCACTTGATCCGGGAATATTTCTCCACTTTTCGCACATACCATACATACCTCGGCTGGCCAAACAAGACCGAGGCAGGGGAGCTGCAGCACGATTGACGGATTGTACGGCAGTGGCTCTATGACTACAGACACACAGTCCTGTACATGTATGCACTGTGCAGCTGGCTAGCCGTGATAGTGATACTCCGGTGATGAACCACGATGCAGGTGACCAACGCTGCGCCGCTATGCATGTGAATGTGTTTGATCAAGACTGACAAGAGTCCCAGTGCAGAGTGCGCAACTGGACTACTACTCTACTACTAGTACTTGAAGTACTAGTGGGGTTGTGGCCCTTGTTGTGGGACGGCTAATCCGCGATGATGTACGTCATGTACTCCTGGTCCGAGATGCTAGCCCAGGGCAGGGTTTCAGCGTTGACACTTGAGAAGTAAGTTGAGATGATACTTGGCAACTACACATATGCATAGTCATTGTAAATGTACATTAGTACTAGTAGTACGGTGGCATGGCCAGGCCCAGCCAGGCTGTGGCCAAGTACTAGTACTAGTAGTACATGTAACAGGAAGCAGTTGAGTGAGCACGAGCCGAATCCGGAACGAAAAATTTGGATGGTAGCGTTGGAGTGAAGCGAAACACTTGCAGGAAATGCAATGTAGTTCCGATAGAAGTCGGAACACTACTGGGCAGCTTTTGCGATTGCTGCATGAAGACGGTTGTGTTGAGACGATTTGCTTTCCTTCGCCAAAGGCCTTCGGGGGACTTTTAAGCCAGCATGCTAGCTCACGCGGTGGCCAACCATTCGTGTATCGGTTCTGGACGGTCCTGATAAAGATTTGGACAGGGACTTAGCTCAGGACCGGCAAGGCACCGCGGCCTAGCCTCAATAGGATAGTCCGTGATTCAGTCATCATCCACTTCTGATCAGTTGTCAGAGTGGTGCGAATTAAAGGGCATGTATGCCAGCCACAGCACTGCCTTCGTCACTGATGCTAAAACCAGATCAAGTCATTTTGTGCCAGGAGTGGAATTTCGTTCGCTGCCGATTAGTTCGATCTGAGCACGAGTAGATTACTCGTCCGAACTTACTGACTCAACTAAACTTGGTACCAAGTCGGTTGTTTGAGTTGCGACCAGTGTGGAACAACACACAGCTTCGCAGGTCACGAAGCCAGGTGAGACAACTCTTCGACGTGGACGTGGATTTAGCTTACAATACCTGTTGAACTGGTGCGACGGGCGAGGAGAGCAAGTGAAAGCGACCCGCATACTTCGTGGTGTCTGGTGGTGGAGCAAAGCCAACACGGTCACCCGCCCTCGCAGTCACAACGCTAAACAAGCACAGACCGGTAAGTCGCGGCAAATAAATTGATGTTGTTTGTCCATAATAAATTATAGGTCAGTGCAGAGCAGGGAGGGCCTTATGCCCTTTTTAGTGCCCGGCCAGGTTAGCCTGGAGCAAAAGTCAAGTGTTATTGACTTTTGTACACTAACTCTTGCTATGACTTATGAGTATGACCTTCGCACGTAGCCAAGGCCACTGCAATGCCGGCATGTTCGATTGGTAGGATCGGGATCCCGATCCACCGGATCCACTGGATTCGCACTCTTTCGATAGGTCGAATCTGGATCCGGATCCTTCGGATTTGGATCCGGTCAACCCACCTCGGGGAGCAGGGTTGACCGGATCCAACGGATCCAAATGTGACCTTTGTGCGTATATGGCGGGTAAACATCGTTTTTGTACACATTGTGGTACGCACACGTGGATCGAGATAGAGCTTGCCGACTTTTTGTACAACTGGCGCTGTGAGTACGACTTTTTATTACTTTCGTCAACATGGCAACAGTCAAGGCCCAAAAAAGTGTCCAGTTGACTCTGAAGCCAAGTGCAGGATCCGACGGATCTGAGATCTGGATCCCGATCCCGATCCTTACCAATCGAACATGCCCTTACACTGCATTGACATCATGCACGCTGACGTCAATATAATGTAGATGAATCACGTGCTACATCTCGCAGTCAGCGTGCACACATGCACCAGGGCCAAGGCGCACTGCATCATGTAAGACGAAAGAGGGAGGGAGAGAGATGAAGGCTAAGGCCCGGGTCACACCGAAACAAGCCACTTTGGGCTTGTTATCGCTGGCGCTCAGCTGGCTTGCGTGATCCCTATGACGCGGTCACACCAGACCTTGAGTGCAAAGCTTGAATGGCTTGTTTTTCTTACCCGCCAAATTTTGAATATCTCGAAACACACCAATGTTTGCAAGAAACCGGAAAGCAGAACGTTCGTGATCTAAAACTGTACTTGTTCTAGTGTTCAGTTTTGATGAAGAAGCAAAGGAAGCCCGGATTCTGAATTGCGAAGTCGTGCTCTTTTTATTTGTTCGGTGTGCATGGACGCGATGGTTCAGGTGGTGTTTCCTGATGTCGAGCTTTCTGCCCCGCCGGTTGCCGTTCTTGAACTCAGTTGCAATCCACTCTCTTCTTCGTACCCGGCTTTCTTCATGAATTCGGTCGTGAGTGTGGTGCCTTGTCTTGGCCTCAAACCACAGCTCCAACAATCTACGCAGCAGTCTAGAGGCACAGCGGCAGAAATCCATGGTCGTCGGACAAAATCCAAATCAAACTGAATACAGTGTAGTTGGATAGACACACTCCCGGTCAAAACCAAAGGCACAGGGATAGCACGGTTCCACGGACACAAGAAAGAACATCAAATTATCAGTTCATCATGTCAACTAGCTACATGGTGTGCTCCAAGCGCACTCAAATTATTTTTTGAATTTCGGCTTTCAGCCGCTTGTACAAGCTGTGGCTGAAACAAGCCGAAAAAAACGGCTGAGAGTCAGCCACGGCTGAAAGTCGCTTGTAGGACATTTTCAGCCATTTCCAAGGTAATAGTGACGTAAACAAGCGCTTTTTTCGGCTGAACGGCTGAATCGAGCTCGGTGTGACCGCGGCCTTACCGAGTGAGTCAGCTTTGCAGCCTGGAGGAGTGAAAATCCCTGGGTCCGCAAATCTGGGGTCAGTTCCATAACGAAAAGGCTTGACTCACGCGATCCGATGTCAAATCTGTACAGCTCTGCGCATCGACCACGGAGTCGGAAAATACACGTATTTTGCGACTCCCTGAAATCTAGCGTGCGGTTCTCCAGCCACCCAAGTCTCATGCGTAAATAGAATAGAAATATCCAAGAACGGCTTGACTACGACTCAGTAGATCAACGGATCTAAATACGTGTAAAGTGCTGTTGACAAAACTGTCAAGAGTCTGTCGACATTCCAATCACGTCGTCTCTGTACCATAATAGTCAGGTTTATGACGGGACTGCGGCCGCGCCCGCGGTGCCAAGAGCATAATCACTGACTCGGTGAGGTCGCAAGACCACGGAGAGGCGCGCGCACTGACCGTCCTTGTAGTCCATCGGCCAAATCTCAGAAAAGGCCTCTTTCGGAGAAGGTGATGCACTGAAGCTCCAACTAAACGCCCTTTGGCACACTAGCTCATGAGACCCCATAGAATACGAATCCGATTGTTGGACGTTGCCAATCCAGTGCAGGATAGTCGAACTGGGTCGAATACCTTCTTCCGATTTTCGTAATTTCGTCCACCATTACATCTTTCTCATCGACTTTTTTTCGCGTGGCGAATGTTCTTGAGCCGCTGAGCAGAATCTACGCACGCTCGAACACTTGAAATGCCTGCATGTTGACGGTTCGCAAGATTCTAGCGAGCTTGGTGGAAATCTATTATTTATTTGGACATTTTTGGGGAATCTGAACTAGAACGGTAGAAGCTCATTCAGAGAAGACGGCGTGTCGCACGCGATCACTGAAATAAACTATTTTTTTGCGGGCAAATAAACTATTTTTTTGCGGGCAAATAAACTATTTTTTTGCGGGCAATATCGCATAATATTGCCCGCGGCGCGAAAGGTGCTGATTCGCTGGAGTACGGGCAACAATCACGTGCCATCAAGAGTTCATAACCCCCAAGAGTGTGCAACTCCTGATCAGTCCCTGTATGGAAGCCCGCTCGGCGGAATTCCTTCATTGCGTCATTTTTGGTGCAGTGCGATGAGTCACGCCGATGAATTCTTCTAAAATTTACAGTCAAACCAGCATGCTTCCCCAGGGTAAACTGCCTAAACTGCGATTCTAGTCTGAGCCTCGAGTCAAGAAGCAAAAGTGAAACAAAGTATGCACACGAAAGACAAAACTATTTTTTCGATGCAATGGTGACTCTTCATCGCCTTCTTCTTTCACCAGTGCAGTCAGTCTCTTCAAGAACAATTTCTTCCCCAGGCCATCGGCATATTTCTGGTGCTTTCCTGGAAGATAATTTCAAATGGTTGAGGAACTTGAGAATACGTCGTCGAAGTAGCATTTTTCGGCTGAGTTGCACAGCTATCAGAATGATTGTCCTCGACGGCAATGCAATATTTTTAACAGCGTCCTCACTTCTTCCTGTCGCGATGTCCATGGATTCTTGGAGAAAGAGTTTGTTTTTGAGAAAGTACGACTTGTACGTCCGAAATGTCTTCAAAAAAAGCTTCGAAAAGTCGAGGCTACAGCCTTGAGTTAGGGGCGGTTCACAGTGGTTCAGGGTATAGTTTCCAGAAATCGCAAAGAACCCAAATTTACCTCGGATGACACGCTGCGCATGACGTAATGTAGGAATTTCGCCGAGCGCTGGGTCTATGCCCGTTGCACACTCTTGGGGGTTATGAACTCTTGGTGCCATGTGATAAAAATTGTTTTTGTCTTTATCATCTTGACAAATTATTGTGTATCATATTATCACATCCTTGAATGAATGTCACCAGTGAAAATGACAAAAATATACACCTGCATGTATGGGTCACTCTATTTTTTGAGTGTGTGCGTGCGTGCGTGTGTGTGTGGGTGTGGGTGCATGCGTGCGTGTGTGTGTGTGTGTGTTTGCGTGCAAGTCTTGATCTGTCTCATTCAGATATTGTTCGCTATCGTTGCTATAAAAGAAAATCTGTGGGTGCACATCCAGTGCATTTGCAGATTTGCGTACTTCTCTTGCGACGAGCGTGTACATGGTGGTGGTGTGTGTGCATGGGTTCATGTGTCTGGCCACGTGTCTGTATGTGTGTTGGAGGGGGGGGGGGGGGGGGGGGGTCGAAAATGAATGGTAATTGTTTTACTGAACCTCTGACTAATATCAAGAGTTATAACCTCTAACATTGTGCAACACCCGCATACCATGCTATCCCGACCAAATTTTAAGTTGATGTCTTTTTCACGATGCAATGCTCCTTCCACGGGTGATTCACGACATTTTGTACAGGGCGTGAATGAATCACATTTTTTTCTTGAACACATTTCTGCATGATCAACAGGGGATTTGTCCGCCACAATTCCTGCATACGTCTGATGTGTACAACAATGAGCATTGCATCATAACATATGAAGTCCACTGTTGAACATGAAATTCTGTCTGGACAGCACTCATAGCGGAGTTGCTCACTTTTGGGGATTATGTACTCTTGCTAATATTCTATTACTTTGTAGCCATGCAATATTATCCTGTTATGAGAGGACATGTATGTGTGCTTGACCGGCGTTAGGCTTCTTGGCAGACCTTGAGTAACTTGGACTGGCGACAGCAAGAAAACACAATAATATGATGCCTGGAAGGTTGAGAACATATTTCCCTGCACTGTGAACTACGCATATCATAAAACAGAGTCACACAACATCTTTGACACACTCAAGAGATGACTAATTGCCGCTGGAAAGCAAACTTGTTTCCTTCAAGTCAGCCATTTTATAACCAAGGCAACCTGTGCACTTGCTGCTGCGTCATACAAAACCAGATGCATGTGCCGATAAATTCCAGTGTTAAACAATACCTTAGGCCACGCTGTTTTTTTCTTATGTTTTGCGACACCTTATTCGATGAAATCAATGAGGGAGGGCGAAACAAATAAAAAAGCCATCCAAAAAAAAACAGTGTACGTGCATTGCATTTGTGTACAGTGAAGCTACGCGGCACTGCACTGTTCATGTACATGTACGTACATTGTCTGTGTATCCCCTCTGCCATGCTTGTGGTCCAAACACAGGCGGCATGATGATTGTGTGACTTGTGGCCCAGCTGTACATGACATGTGTGTGAGCTGAGATAACAATCATGTTCCGTTTTTTTCCTTTTGGGTTACATTTTCCGATTTTCTGGGTTTGCATTAACCCTTTCACTGCCAGCTGACCACTCAAGGTGACAAGGCGCTCCCTGCCAGGCTGTCAGCTGAGCTGTACACCCCCTCCCTGCCAGGCACTTTTTACCTCCAGCTCGAAAAATTGAAAGGCCTACTTTTCCTGGATTTTTTGGTACTTTCTGTACGGAATATCGCTTTCCAAAGTATACATCGTAGATAGACAACTCACAAAGGAAGCCATTGCCGTCGAAAAAAATCGCAAAATCCGAAGTACAAACGTGCTGCGCGATCTAGCGGCAGCCGCTGTGCAAAAATGCGTGTCACGTCATGCGAAAGTGCGCCGTGCGCCGCATGCGCTACATACACTATGTAGTATGTACACGATCGGCCCGGACACTCGCGAAGTAAAGTTAGTTAGTTGTTGTTTTGGAGAGAGAAGCAGATCCTTTTTTTTTTTCGTTCGCAGGGATTGAAAGATATGCCAGTGGACAGGAGAGCTACAACACTGGAAGCAGAAGAGATGGCTTGCGGAATCTTCTCTATCTTCGTGGCAACAGGACTTCAGTTGCGAGAGACTTTCGTCCTGTCGTTGCGGACGAAATTCTTGTTGCTGCCACCAGAAAACTCGGAGAACGAAACGTTCGTAAGTCGTTTGGTGAAGCGGATCGTGTCGGTGAACGGCTGCGGAATGTTCTGCCGCCATGGTGGTCGTTTGTTCTCCCAATTAGCAGCAGTCCAAATACTTTTCAACTTCGGAGAGTGAAGCGCTTCCCTGTTCCGTTGACAAGCGCGGCGTTCGCGGGTGTAATTCACTTTCGCATCAGCTTGCAGTAGATCGTCAGGTATTGAGCCAGAGGTAGGTGTCGTTGTAGAAAGAATATAATTATGTTGTAGCTGACATACCTGTAGTGTCTCTTGTCCGTGCTGGTCGCCATTGTAACGTGGTAATTCTTAGAAAATTTTAGTTCTGGACCCAGTGACCGCCGCCAGCGCTGTTTCCGTCAAGTTTGCAGTGAATGCGTCCGCGAGGAATCTATCGTCTGGTTGTCTCTACCCGTGACTCCAACCGCCTATCGCAACGGATAGCCGTCTGGAGTCTTGGGTAATAGCTAGGCATCAAGTCTGAACCAAATTCCATGCTCCGTGCAATGAAAGTTGACGGGAAAGAGGAAAATACTCGCACCGACTCAGCGAGGTGGAAGTGCGTGAGAACCGGTTTCTTCCTCGCCGATCGGCTAAAAATCGGATGCGGATTTTCAACGACGCTGGTTCGATTTTTTTCAAATGGCAACCCATACTTCTGGAAGCGTATTTCGATGGGTATGGACATCTTCCAGGGCCCAGTGGCCGTCTACCACGGCTAAACATCTCCAATATTCGAAAATAGAGGCACAAACTGGGTGAGGTCTGCCTGTCGACGGAAGTCGACAACAGCACTGGGGACTGCATGTTTACTCGTCGACGCAAGTCGACAATGGCACTCGGAGTGCATGAATGCGCTGTCGACTACAGTCGACAGCGGCAGTGAAAGGGATTTGTATTGCATTTTCCCCAAAAAAATTGTTCCTTTTTTATTTTATTTTTTTAACTCCGGCTGTGAAATACATGCGCGCGGGGGACGCGAAACACAGATAAAAAACGGTGTGGCCTTACATTGAAAAAAACTTCTTTTCAAATGTTTCCTACGCCACAGCATACATTGAGTACCAGTGGTGTCCTCCTTTTTGTAGCTAAAGGCAACTTCAGGATAATCATGCATTATGATGTTTGTTGTTGATTGTAGCTACTGAACGCTAAATGAGTGGCAAAGTCTATTTGCGATTTGGAGTTGAAAAGGGAATTGGATTCTTGCTCCTGCAACATTAAACCCAGTGGCTGTTGCCGTCATGTTGTGAAGTTACTATGAAGATTTGTAGAGTATTCCCATGAGTATTTATGTGCTGCTGTCTGGCCAGGCAAACACTACGTGCTTTGATTTCATATATGCCATGTCATGTCCGTAGAGATCCTCAAGTGTGCTCAACATTCTACTTGCTACTAAAGCATTTAATTCTTATCTGTACACTTCTACTCAACTCTCAATCCAGGCAGGAGTGGCACAGTATGCCTATGAGAGTCTATTGTATTGTGATGTTTTGCATACGAAGTAGTGGTTGCGACTTCGGCGATGATTTTGTAAGAAAGGTTTGCTCCCCACACCGGAGCTCGCGCTATTCCGCCGACTTTACTTGACACTTGACTGACTCACGACTGCCATCCAGAGCACACGAGAAGTCCATCGAACCTTCGACTCGTCAAACCTGCAAGAAAGCACCACTCCCTGCTCAATACACAGTGTTTCGGGGAATTCACCCCTCATCAGTTAAGCTTGAGTAGGCTGAGGAAGATTGTGCCTGAAGAGCACCACTTATATAGTGCTCTCCAGGCACAAACATCACCAGGGATACAAACTTACAGAGACACTCTGCTTCCAGCGCGACAAACACCTCGTGAACACCAGATAGCAGCGTGAGTCAGTGTCGCTCCTGGATGGTGAGACAGACGTCGAGGACCCTCGGTCATTCGCAACGCTGTCACCTCCAAACCAACTAGTCGCCAGCCCGCGCTGGGCACAGCAGTACGAAGTAGTGGTTGCGACTTCGGCGATGATTTTGTAAGAAAGGTTTGCTCCCCACACCGGAGCTCGCGCTATTCCGCCGACTTTACTTGACACTTGACTGACTCACGACTGCCATCCAGAGCACACGAGAAGTCCATCGAACCTTCGACTCGGCAAACCTGCAAGAAAGCACCACTCCCTGCTCAATACACAGTGTTTCGGGGAATTCACCCCTCATCAGTTGAGCTTGAGTAGGCTGAGGAAGATTGTGCCTGAAGAGCACCACTTATATAGTGCTCTCCAGGCACAAACATCACCAGGGATACAAACTTACAGAGACACTCTGCTTCCAGCGCGACAAACACCTCGTGAACACCAGATAGCAGCGTGAGTCAGTGTCGCTCCTGGATGGTGAGACAGACGTCGAGGACCCTCGGTCATTCGCAACGCTGTCACCTCCAAACCAACTAGTCGCCAGCCCGCGCTGGGCACAGCAGTACGAAGTAGTGGTTGCGACTTCGGCGATGATTTTGTAAGAAAGGTTTGCTCCCCACACCGGAGCTCGCGCTATTCCGCCGAATTTACTTGACACTTGACTGACTCACGACAGCCATCCAGAGCACACGAGAAGTCCATCGAACCTTCGACTCGGCAAACCTGCAAGAAAGAGCTCCGGTGTGGGGAGCAAACCTTTCTTACAAAATCATCGCCGAAGTCGCAACCACTACTTCGTACTGTTGTGCCCAGCGCGGGCTGGCGACTAGTTGGTTTGGAGGTGACAGCGTTGCGAATGACCGAGGGTCCTCGACGTCTGTCTCACCATCCAGGAGCGACACTGACTCACGCTGCTATCTGGTGTTCACGAGGTGTTTGTCGCGCTGGAAGCGGAGCGTCTCTGTAAGTTTGTATCCCTGGTGATGTTTGTGCCTGGAGAGCACTATATTAGTAGTGCTCTTCAGGCACAATCTTCCTCAGCCTACTCAAGCTCAACTGATGAGGGGTGAATTCCCCGAAACACTGTGTATTGAGCAGGGAGTGGTGCTTTCTTGCAGGTTTGCCGAGTCGAAGGTTCGATGGACTTCTCGTGTGCTCTGGATGGCAGTCGTGAGTCAGTCAAGTGTCAAGTAAAGTCGGCGGAAAAGCGCGAGCTCCGGTGTGGGGAGCAAACCTTTCTTATGTTTTGCATAGTTATGACAAACATAGCATACATTAGCATTGACTGGAATTTCTCTCATTTTGTTTGGTGTACTACAGGTGTAGCCATGGCAATGGAGACTCTTCCCGAGGAGTGGTACCTGCTCAGCCTTGTACGGAGGAACGATCATCAGGAGTTGAGGAAGGCAATCCTTCAAGAGGACGGTACCTTGAAGGAAGGTGTAGAAAACCAGACATATATCAACAGTGACGGAGAGGAGGAGCCATTACTGGTATGTAATATGCACATAGTTATACACATACACACTGACATACACAGAAACACAAACACACACACACACACACACACACACACATACACATACACACACACACACATACACCTGGTCCTGGTCCTGGTATACACTGCCATGTAGGTCACGTGTTTCTCGTTGAGCGAGACGGAGACGAGAGGAGACATGAGCGTTGGTTTCGGGATAAGTCGTTTCGCCTTTTGAAACGCCTCTGGCAATTCTGACATTGCAATTGGAACTTGTCCCTTTCATCAGCAGCTGGGCGCCTGGTGGATCGGTTGCAGTTGTGGATAGCAAAGCCCCGGATCGACTTGCAGCAACGTTCACAAATGGGACAGTGAGCGGTACAGCACGGTTTCCGAATACATAGGCGTACAGGTGAAGAGCTTGTGGCATTGGCAACATTCAGGGCAGAACTGGACTGGGCACAGCGATGGACTGCAATGCCACCCGCACTCCGAAACCATCGGTGACACTGGGAGCACTGGCGGCTGTTGGCTTGCTGCTGGACTGGTCACAGACATGTACATTATGTACGCGCTAGGGGTGAAAGGATTATGTGGTATAGTCGATAAATTAGTCGAAAAAATCTAGTCGATTACGATTTTTCTAATCGCTACAGCATTTTCGTACGACATACGGTACGACGAAATATCCGGCATGTGCAGTGTGTCTACATGACTTTACTGCGTGCAGCACATGTACCAGAGTACGAGTGGATGCGCGCTCACAGCGAGTTGCTCATGCTCTGGATACACACTACACGCGTAGACTCTACCCGGTAGATCTACCTGATGTACTCTCTAGATCTATTGTATGACACGCGGCTCTTTTCTCTGCACCGTACACTGATTCGTGCCCGCGAACTTTCGTTCCGGTTGCTTCACTAAACTCACTGTTCTGGACAAGTAGCCTTCAGAATCAGTTTGTGCCTGTGCGACGGTCGATGTTTCCTTTATTTTATTCTCTTCGGAGTTCCAAAATTAATTGTAGTTGATGCAAAATGGTGAGTTTTTCGTCAGTGGTGCTTAATCGATAATAATCGATAAGTAATCGATATGTTTTGGATTAACCGTTAAGGAATATCCCTTAACCCTTTCACTGCCGCTGTCGACTCCAGTCGACAGCCCATTCATGCACTCGGAGTGCCGCTGTCGACTGCAGTCGACCAGCAAGAATGCAGTTCCCAGTGCCGCTGTCGACTGCAGTCGACAGGCCGACTTCGCCCAGTTTGGGCCACTATTTTGGGGTATTGGAGATGTTTAGCTGCCATAGAGGGTTACTGGGCCCTGGAAGGGGTCCATATCCATTGATTTACGCTGCCAGGAGTAGGGGTTGCCATTTGAAAAAAATTGAACCAGCGTCGTTGAAAATGTGTATCCAATTTTTAGCCGAGCGGCGCTGAAAAAATCGGTTCCCACGCACTTCCATCAGCTTGCAGTAGATCGCCAGGTATTGAGGTAGGTGTCGTTGCAGAAAGAATAATATTATTATACTTGTAGCTGACATACCTGTAGTGTCCCTTGACCGTGCTGGTCGCCATTGCAACGTTTTAGGTCTCAGGAAAATTGAGTTCTGGACGCGGCAATCCCGTCAACTTTCTTTGCATAGAGCATGGAATTTGGTTCAGACTTGATGCCTAGCTATTACCCAAGACTCCAGGCGGCTATCCATTGCGACAGGCGGTTGGAGTCACGGGTAGGGAACCAAACGACGGATTCCTCACGAACGCATTTTGGATGCAGCTATGTACAAAATTGACGGAAACAGCGCTGGCGGCGCTCGCCGCGTCCAGAACTCAATTTTCCTGAGACCTAAAACGTTGCAATGGCGACCAGCACGGTCAAGGGACACTACAGGTATGTCAGCTACAAGTATAATAATATTATTCTTTCTGCAACGACACCTACCTCAATACCTGGCGATCTACTGCAAGCTGATGCGGAAGTGCATTACACCCGCGAGCGAAGCGCTTGTCAACGGAACAGGGAAGCGCTTCATTCTCCGACGTTGAAGAGATGTGCTTGGACTGCTGATAATTAGGAGAACAAAGGACCACCACGTCGGCAAAACAATCCGCGGCTGTTCAGCGACACGATCCGCCTCACGAAACGAGTCGCGACCATTCCCCAAGTTTTCTGCAAGCAACAAGAATTGCGTCCGCAGCGACAGGACGAAAGTCTCTCGCAAACTGAAGTCCTGTTGCCACGAAGACAGGGAAGTTTCAGCAAGCACTTTCTTCTGCTTCAAGTGTTGTAGCTCTCCGGTCCACTGGCAGATCTTTCAATCCCACCGAACGAAAAACAGGATTTCCTTCTCTCTCCAAAACAACAACTAACTAACTTTACTTCGCAACTGGCCGGGCCGTACACCTGGTACACATGGTGCACACGCAGTGTGTGTAGTGCATGCGGCACGCGGCGCACTTTCGCATGACATGACATGACTTGTTGCACAGCGGCTGGAGCTAGAAAGCTCAGCGCGCTTGTACTTCGGATTTTGCGATTTTTTTCGAGGGCAATGGCTTCCTTGATCAGTTGGCTACCTACGATGTATACTTTAGAAAGCGATATTCCATACAGAAAGTACCAAAAAATCCAGGAAAAGTTGGCCTTTCGATTTTTTGAACTGGAGGTAAAAAGCGCCTGGCACTGGGGAGTGCACAGCCCAGCTGACAGCCTGGCACTGAGTACCTTGTCACTTGAGCAGTCAGCTGGCAGTGAAAGGGTTAATCGTTTCACCCCTAGTACGCGCTGAAAAATAGAACATGTTTGAGTTTTCATTTAGGTTCGTTCCACACGCATGACGCACCAAAAGGCAGCAAAAATGAATAAATGTGTGGTTTCACGAGTAAACGTGCCAGTTGTGATCACAGCTTGTGTTTATCCACTGTCCACTGGACTATGCTGTGGCTTGACTTCACCGAGTATCATCGCCATTCCCTGATTCCTCCAGCAATTTCAATGGACAGACTCACTGTTTCACTGAAAAGATACTTTTGAACAAGGTGACTACTCCTACCGTTGGAGTTCCTGCTTTTTTGGCCTACTATCTTCTTGACTACCGATATGTTTTTCTTGTGCGATGTTGTCTTCGCAAACTGCTGCCCGGTCAACAATCGTACACGATCTCCCAGATACACCTGACACAGCCGCGCAATACGCATGTGTCTTGAGATGACTTTATAGAACGGAGTTCCAAACTTGGAGACGAGTCTTGTCCAGTGATGTGAAGTGATTTTCAGGAAAGCTGCGACGGGTGTTCTCAAACCAGAAAAGGTGACGTTCGCCAGCCCTTGGCTACTGTCCTACACTCCGGCGTAACAGAAACTTCCACCAGTCCTACACTCAATCGTGGAAGAAACTTGCCATATTCTTCATTTGGGAAATGTGAAAGTTTGATTCTCCAAGTTGACACTGAGCTGCGATCATAGAACGTTGTTGTGAGTTTCAAAAGCTAGCATCAGCCCCAAAAATGGTGGGGCATTCCCCGGGTGTGACTTGTGAGCGCATGTGTGCGCTCTTGTGTGTGTGTGTGTGTGTGTGTGTGTGTTGTGTGTGTGTGTGTATGTGTGCGTGAGTGCGCGGGCATGTGTCCTCTCCTCTCCATGAATGAATAATGTTATGAAACAGATACACGACAGGACAGGTGTGCATGTGTGTGTTGGTGGGGGGGGGGGGGGAGGGGGGGGGGGGGAGGGGTGCATGGTTTTGAGGGCTGGCTTATGTGTATGTGTGTGTGTGTGTGCGTGTGAGTGTGTGTGTGTGTGTGTGTGTGTGTGTGTGTGTGTGAGTGTGTGTGTGTGTGTGTGTGTGTGTGTGAGTGTGTACTCAGCACCGGTAGATGCCCAGCATCCCCCTCCCGTCACCTGCTACACCTGCGACCGACAGTTTGCACGCCCCAGTGATCGCGCACGCCACAAGTGTAAGGTTGAGCGTGCGAAGCCGGTTGCGGAGCAGAAAGGTGCATGCCAGTGTGGAGAGTGTGGCCGTTGGCTGAAGTCCCGTGGAAGTCTGGCAAGGCACAAGTGTACTTACCCCCAGTCAGCAGTCGGTGCGCCCCTGCCGCTGCCTGCTTCTCCGCTGTGCTGCGTCGCTCACTGCCAGGCTTGTGACCGCTGCTTTGCGTCTACACGTGGCCGCGCCCGTCATCGCTGCTCACGGTCTTGTAGTCGTCCGACCGTTCAGGACCGTCAGGGTTTCACATGTGTTTGCGCCTGCTCCCGCCGATTTCGCTTACCGCATCACCTGGACTGTCACAGGGCTGTGTGCTCCTCCTCTCTCTCAGCTGCCCCTCCGGGGCCCACGTAACCTTCATGGCAGTGGCTCAACAGGACAGGACAGGGGTGAGTGTGTGTGTGTGTGAGTGTGTGTGTGTGAGTGTGTGTGTGTGTGTGTGTGTGTGAGTGTGTGTGTGTGTGTGTGTGTGTGTGTGTGTGTGCATGTATGCGTGCGTGCGTGCGTGCGGGCGGGCGGGCGGGTGCGTGTGTGTGCTGGCTACCACTCATGATGGTGCACAGCGGGCCCTTGACCTATTCATATAATTATGTAGCGTCTTCTGTCGGCTAGACAGTCAACTTGGACAAGACAAAGGTGATGGCTGCTGGATATGGACTCACGGAAGCAGACCGGCAGCCCCTGGACGAGGCGGGTAAGGTGGTCGAGTGTGTAGATAGTTTTCGTTATCTTGGCTCCCTCCTTCACACGAATGGCCGATCCACCCCGGATTTCAGCTCGCGCATTGCCGGTGCATCACATGCATTTGACAGCAACCTTTCCCTTGCTACGACGCGGCTTGTGTATGAGGCATGCTTGGTATCTCTGCTTCTGTACTGTGCTGAGTGCTAGGTGCCATTGAAGCCCGACCTTGATGCACTGTGCTCTTTCCATCTGCGCTGCATCCGTTCTGTAATGGGTATCAGCCAGCGGATTGTCTGGGACGAACGACTGACCAGGGTTGATGTTCTGGCGCGATGGAATCCGTGTCAGCCCCGTGACATCCCCAGCCTGCTGACATCGCGCCACATGGAGTGGCTTCAGCATGTTGTGCAAATGCATGAAAAGCGTGCCCGCGTCGGCTACTGTTTGGTACCCTGCATCCTGTCCGTCCGATATGCGGCCCGAGAAAAAGGTGGCGCAATGCCCCCCGGAGGCATCTGGCGGTGTTGGGCATCGACAAACAGTACGACTTTGCCGAGGATAGACGGGAACGGCGGGCCGCTTACAATGTTCTGCCCCCCACCCGAACCCGTTTGTGCGCCCCTGCGGGTACCTTGTGCTGAGTGTGGTCGTCTCTTCTCCAGGAATGGTTTACCTCGTCACAAATGCCTAGGTGAGCGCTGCAAACCTGTATCAGTATAGAGAGGTAGCCGGCAATGTTCTGCCTGCCAGCGCTGGTTCCGCAGTGCTGGAGGTTTGGCAGTCCACAAGTGCCCCATCTCCCAGGCGCTCCCCACGGCATCGTCTCAAGCTCCATGTTGAACAGCGGTGTCCACCATTGCTGCTCAGCTCATTCCTCCGCCACCGCGCATGCGGTTCGATCTCTTATGCTGCAAGGCCCACTGTGGGGCATGTGGTCGGTGCTTCCGCTCTACTTGTGGCTTCCATATCCATAGCTGCCGGAGATGGCTCTCTCGTGGTACCAATTAAAACATGGTCCCTGACCTCTCGGCAAATCGCCCACTTTCTGTCGTCACTCGTCGTTCCATGTTGTCGGCCCCGCAAGCAGGCACGTGACCGTAATGGCAGTGTTTACCAGGACCAGGACAAGGTGTGTGTGTGTGCGTGCGCGCGCGTATGGTGGTATGTGGGCGTATGTGTGTTTGTATGTTTGTGTGTGTGTGTGTTCATGCGTGCACGCATTTGTGAATATGTGCATGCGTGTGTGTGACAGCTGCCTTTAGCGAGATCATGGATGGATTTATAGCCATCAGGCTCCACTGCTTGTTGTTATAATGTTGTGCCTCTCGTCTGTGTTGGTGTCAACTTCAATAAACACTTCTTAGTGTTTAACTCGGATACTAAGCCAATACATATTATAATTAAAATAGAAGAAATGACATGGAAACGAGTTATGAAGCAACTATCCACGACTGTAACAAGAGATAATAAGCTGTCAGAAAGTGCGATAACAGGGCACAAAACTGACATGTTACTGAGACATTCAGCGACCTGAGACCTAGCTCTCACACACCTCCAGTGTGCAAACCGACAGCCTTCCAGCTTTGAAGGTTCAAGGTTATGGTAAGACCAATGAGGGGAAAGTGAGTGCAGCGAAACTGTGCATAAGCTAAGTCCCACAGCGACAAAGAATGCTGACTGTTACAGGACCATGACGGGACCAGTTAATAACATGACAATGCGGTCTAACTACAATTCGAAGCAGCAAAGCAACACAACACCCAACTTGGGTGGGTCAGCAATATCAGAGATAAAGAAAAGGGGAAGCATTCTTTGTTGCCTTGGGACTTAGCTTGTGCACATTTTCGCTGCGCTCACCTTCCCCTCATTGTCCCTACATTAACTTTGAACCTTCCAAGCTTGAAGGCTGTTGGTTTGCGCACTGGAAGTGTGTGAGAGCTAGGTCTCAGGTCGCTGAATGTCTCAGTAACATGTCAGTTTTGTGCCCTGTTATCGCACTTTCTGACAGCTTATTATCTCTTGTTACAGTCGTGGATAGTTGCTTCATAACTCGTTTCCATGTGATTTCTCCTATCTTTCTTAGTCTTTGTTCACAATATACATACATATGTAACAGTGGACTACTTTTGAACTTTTTATTATTTTCTTGTGTAATCAATTTTACCAGTGAATCCTTTATCAGACCCACTCTGATTTAGCAGTCCAGACTATGTGGGATCATCTCCAAAACCACCCAGGGTCCAGACATTCACCTTGGTGTGAAAAGTGGTCGTTTCCATAGCTACTTAAGTAATCTTGAAATATCATAATTTTTGGATTGTCCCTCTCCCCTTTTCGGGAGACCCAAGTGACCAGCAACTGTTGTTGTCTGTGAGAAAGAACAAGTATGTGGATATGGATGTACATCAATGTTTGAATATACATGCTTGTGTGTATTCGTGTATGTTATTGCGTGCGTGTGTGTGCATGTGTGCGTGCGTGTGTGTGCGTGTGTGTGCATATGTGCGTGTGTGTGTGTGTGTGTGTGTGTGTGCGTGTGTGTGTGTGTGTGTGTGTGTGTGTGCGTGTGTGTGTGTGTGTCCCATATGGTGCAGTGGTATGTGCAGTCGATTTCCAATCGAGAGGTTGCGGGTTCAATTCCCGACGATTATGGTCGCACACGTCTTTCTTCTCTTTCTCGGACTCTTCCTGACTTTTCTTTCATTCTCCTTACCAATAGCCAGTGTATGCCGGAGTGTGTGGTGTGTGTGTGTGTGTGTAGAAAAAAAATTGAAAAATGAAAAATAGGGATTCATTGGCCAGAAAAAGTCACTTCAAACAGCTGTGTGGTGGATACCAGGCTAAAAATAGTGGCGGTCAATTCATCAGCCTTGCAAGCTGTTGAATGGTGTAATCCCAGCACAAGTTGCTATGTCTAACATAGCTGTTCGCTATCATCGCTTCTGCGACGGGCATGGCTGAGGTCTGAGGTGTGTGTGTGTGTGTGTGTTTGTGTGTGTGTGTGTGTTTGAGTGTGTGCGTACGTGTGTGTGTGTGTGTGTGTGTGTATGTGTGTGTGTCCATGCGTGCGTGCGTGCGTGTGTGTGTATGTTGCTTGATTTTGTGTTCATACCATTCCTGCATACCAGGGTCGACTGCTATCCGAGGCCTGCGATGGTGGCTGCCTGGAATGTGCCTGCATCCTTGCAGACTGTTGCGGAGAAACAGTGATCAACCAGTTGTATCGCAAGAGTTGGGTAGGTCTGTGTGTATGTGCACTTGCATTGCTGACACTGTCCCAGGTACTAAGCACACTGCTCGGTAACTTACACTGACTGGCTTTAAATGTGAATGTCGAGGTGTTTGCATGTGTGCAAATTGTGCATGTGATTGCGTCTTTCTTGGAGGTAGGGGGGGGGGGGGGTGTAATGTTAGGTGAGGGGTTTAATGTTAGGTAAGGGGGATGTAATGTTAGGTAAGGGGGGGGGGTAATGTTAGGTAAGGGGGGGAGGTGTAATGTTAGGTAAGCGGGGGAGGTTCGCGGGGGGTGTAATGTTAGGTAAGCGGGGGAGGTAAGCGGCGGGTGTAATGTTAGGTAAGGGGGGAGGTAAGCGGGGGGTGTAATGTTAGGTAAGGGGGGTGTAATGTTAGGTAAGGGGGTGTATTGTTTAAAAGTAAGGGGGGTAATGTTTGGTAAAAGGGGGGATGTAAGGGGGGGGGGGGGGTGTAATGTTGTTCTCTTGCTTTATTCCAAACAACAACTAGCTCCGGAAAGCTCTGTGACATGATGCCAACAGAATGTAGTGGTGTGCGTGGATGCGTACAGGGGAAGCGGAACATGTAAATTAGATAGGAGCACAAACGGTGTCGCGTGCATACATGCGTATGACAGTCAATGCATGTGCATGTATATGTGAACACTAAGAGGGGGGGGGGGGGGGGTGTAGGGGGTTAGGAGGTACATCTTTTTAATAAGTTTTTTTTCTAATTTATAGAAGAAAAAAGGACCAAGGAACTACAAGTTTTTTAAAGTACGAGAGTCTCGTTCTGCGGCATGATTTTATGTCAGATATGAGTGAAACACAGCATTCAGGAAGTAAACATATGACTCAGCGGAAATTAGCAACTTAGCTACAGTACTGTCGGTCGTCGAAGAACTGGGTGCGAGGGGGGCAGCCTCCTAGCCTAGACCGTTCTTATTATCATTTACTACAGTCTATGCACAGTTGAGTTACCGTGTATACATTGGTATGCTGTATTTGGTAAAATTCTAGCTGGGAAATTCTTCGGCACTTCGTTCTTCTCCGCCCGGCAGTACTTTTGACAATAGATACCCTTAGCAAACAATGGTAACGCTATTTTTTACGGTACTCGTACCTTGACCACCCAAATAGGGTTGAAGCTGCAGCGTAAAAACGTTATGGGGGCTGATTTATCGCTGTGAACAACGGTACGTTTTTTGGCCAAATATTGCATAGTCCGTACGCATTTCACCTTGTATCGCGTATATGGTGACAAAAATGGTTGTACCGCGCGAAATAAAAGCTATTCTCGTGGCAACAGCGTACTAAAAATTGCGTGCATCTTCCTAAAGGTCGAACCCAAATGACGGTATTTTCCCCCTTACGGTAATACCGTTACAACATAAAGTTTTTTGCTGAGGGTGTCTATTGCCTGATCTAAAATGCTTTTATAAGATACTGACTGCTGTAGTCAGAACAGTGTGACATTCCTCAAATGCCATATCGAGTAGAATGGGTGGATGCAGGTATGTGATATCGGTGGTATCACTCTGCTCAAACAAGACTTGCAGGTCAATGTCTAGCTACGTCAGTAGGGATATCAGCGAACACACTGCGCAGCCCATCTGCGCAGGTCAGCCTGGCCCATCTACGCGCGGCCGACGAGAAAACTCATGAACCCTTTCATTTTTTTGCAAAATAAATCGTGCGAAGAAGATGCACGGAATGGCTGAAAACTAGGCTGAGGAAAAGTAGCATCCAGAGACTCTCAAACAAATTCAGGGTCCATCGCTTCTGACAATGGCAGCGAAGACATCAGGGAGCTGATTGCAGCAACTCTCTACCAAGCGCGACGCTGGTTACTCACCAGGGCAGGGCGCTTCCATTGCGCAAGAAATGGCCGCGAGCGAGAAATGCAAGTCCGATTTTGGAACGATCCAACCAGGGTAATCCCTTGAAAATTGGCCTGAACACCTCTCATACTGGTGTTTCACGATTTGCAAACTTTCAGAGAAATCGACCGGGGAGAACGTGGTGAGCTCGTGGGTCCTGTATCGCGTATGATTTGAATGGTCGCGGGGACAGAAGAACAGTAATTTTACGACTCCCAGCGGTGCAAACAGACCGCGGCCATGTTTTCTCTGTCGGCCGCGATCACGTTCAAAAAATCGATGACACAATGCATGCGCAGAGGCCTGCGCAGTGCGTTCACTGACATCCCTAACGTCAGGAGTACTCTGCCCTGAAATCCCAAAGGAATTTATCATTATTTGAAACTCGGATGTTGAGCCATAAATAAATGTGGAAAGGAAAAGGACATATGGATACGAGTTAATAGTAACTCTCCATCACTGTAACTGGATACTATATACGTTGAATGTCTCAGTACTCTTGTCAGTTTTGTGCCTAGTTATTGCACTTTCTGACTGTATATAGTATCCAGTTACAGTGATGGAGAGTTACTCTTAACTCGTATCCATATGTCCTTTTCCTTTCTACGTTTATCATTATGGACCTTTTAATCAAATAGCGTTTACCTTAAAAAAATAAAAAATAAAGCAAAGTCACTAATGGATAGTTATGTCATGGGATGATAGCCAGCTCCTGTTGACCTGCCGTATGTGAAGTAATGATGTATGTCAATCCATTACCCTTACCCTGCCTTATCCCCTATCGAGTACCTCTTTGTATGCTTCCTGCAAGGGTACTGAGGTAGTCAGTAGAGTCCCTACTTCTATTGTTCAGACAACAACGAGCAGAGCATTTCAGACATTTTCTACAGGATTAAAATTTGCTTGGGATACAGTGTACATAACCATGACCATTGTTTAGTATGGCTTCAGTCAATAGGTATAATACAGTGCAACATCTTCAGTATACATACCAATTAGCAGAGGTCAGATCCACAACTTGCAGGGCATGTTTCTACAGGCCCTTGCGATCTCAACAATGTTCTTAAAAAGCAGTGAACATTGCTATACCATTGCGACCAATGATGGAGCTATGCTTGTGCATATGTGCGTTTGCGCATGTGTGTATGTGAGTGTGTGTGTGTTTGTGCGGTCTGTGTATGTGTGGGTTTGTGGGTTTGTGTGTGTATGTGTGTGTGTATGTGTGTGTGTGTGTGAGTGTGTTCTGTGTATGTGTGTGTGTGTTTGTGTGTTCTGTGTATGTGTGGGTTTGTGGGTGTGTGTGTGTGTGTATGTATGTGTGTGTGTGTGTGTGTGTGTGTGTGTGTGTGTGTGTGTGTGTGTGTGTGTGCCAGCTAATCCGGTTCGTGGGCACACTTATGCCTGATTGTGCTGGGTCTGTTGCCAATGGTCTCAGCTGCTTGAAGGTGTAATGTTGTACCTGCCACCTTTGTTGGTTCCAGGGTTCATATACTTCCTCCGTATACAAAAACTTCGTGACTTTTTTTTGAAAGCCGCGCACAGCTCTGGAATTGTTCCGTTTGACTTGGAATAACACTCGTGGCAGTGTCCGTCAGGCGAAATTACTGGTCAGTCGGCGTCACGCATTTTTCACAAAAATTTGCGTTTCACCTGCTGGGAGAGTATGCGTGTACTCGAGTCTCATCCTGAGCACGTTTTTTTCTTCTTTTTTTCAGCTCCAGTATAGCTGTATTTTTCATTGCAAAGCCGTCCTCGATTGTTGTGTTCGTTGTTCAAACGAAGTGGACATTCAATCATGAAGGCAGAGGACATAGGAGCCTGATTGGAGTTTCTCGTGGCATAGGACGGCCACACAGAGACACTTTGGGATTTTCTGAATATAAAATACCGTACGCACGATGCTGAGATCAATTTGTGCGATATCAAATTGTTTGTGATCTACCACATCGAGCAGAACGGGATCCAAACACAAGCTTACCGACGGTAAGGCTGCCGACCTGACTGGACAAATGATCCCTGGCTTCACCAGACGCCAGACGTCGGACACCATGTCCTTTGCCGCGACGTCCATCTCCAAAAAGAACTCCATCTTCGTCGTGAAAAGGCTTGAAATACTCAATATTCAACCGAGATTCGCGGTCTCACCCTTTCTCAGATCGAATCATTTTTTGTTGTAGCAGTTGCAGGGCAGATCCCCGCCACTACTTCAACAGAAGATGGCTCCAAAGCATGCCTGGAACAAGCCATATCGAGGTTGCAAGCCACCCCTCTCAGCACTTTTTTTGAAGAAATTCGAAATTTCAATGGTGGAAGATATACTATGAAGAGAATTTCAAAAAGTATATTTCGCGGAGCGATCGCTCAACCTACGTCATTCAAACTTTGCAGGATGGTTCACACGTACATGCTAGGCATGGAACCACAGAAGATGATATCATAGCTGACACACAGAGTCACACACACAGCAGATTCGTGTGCACAGATACTAAATTAGTGGACGTCGTCATCTTCTTCCCGCTGATCTCAAATGTACGATGACGTGCTATTTCGCCTGACGTAACCTGTTTACAAGCTATTTACAAAGAAAAAAGCAACTCAAACGAATGAGATTGTGTTTTTTCAGAGTCTTCGTCGCTCGTGTCATTGTCACCTGACGACACTGACTCCGCATCGCCAACAGTCGCTGCTTCCGCTCGCATTTCGTTCAGATTCTTGTCAGCTACAGTGATGATCCGACGCTGGACTTTGGCTACGTCCTCTTCATCTCCAGAGCTGTGTACGAATCGGTGTCGACTATTCAATCGTTCCAAACGGCAACCTCCATTATGCCGTGAAACGAGTCATACAAGCACATCCACACGCTTCGCATTTTCTCGCCAGGATAATCCTCCCAGCATTCTACAATGGCTTTGAGGAGGTCCCTGCGATTCCCCTTCGCGACAAAGGAGACGTCTGACTGAAGAGAGGCGAAGAAAGCAAGGCCGTCAAAATTCTGATCCGAAGTCTGCGCTAGTTTCACGACGACTGAAATGTTTCATCTTGCCGTGCGAGCATGACTGCCGTGGAGAATCTATTCGGGATCAACCAAACTTACCTCGGCATGAATGTGGGTTGTCGATGACAGCCTTTGGCGCGGTTCGTTGAGCAGGTTCTTGCTTAAAACACTGTTAAAAAGTCACGAAGTTTTTGTATACGGAGGAATTTTCTGCTATTTGAAGAATAGATAAGTCTCGTTATAAGATAACTTTTTCGACGGCCCAGAGATTATCTACTAACGAGGGAGGACCTGTACATACCTGTTAACCATGGACTGCTTCTGGCTGGATTAACTCTTGTGTAATCAATGGTGCTAGTGAAGCTTATATCAGATCCACTCTGATTTAGCCACCCACACTAGTAGCAAGTATTACCTTCACTGGGGGCAGGGGTAACTGCAGTTGGATCACGGGACGGATACCCTGATGCTGTCAATCCTTTTTCTGCACCTTGTCCTCGCCCACTTACTGAGGTGTGGTGAGCCCATACGTGGGATCATTTTCAAGTCCACCCAGAGTTTTGGGGATTTCAGGGGGTTTCGGCCGTTGGGCGGTTCAATAGCCAATTCAGTCATCTTTCCAAGATTCCTTTCGAGTCTCTCTCCCCTCTCCCGGGGAGAGCCACGTGACCTGTTTTGGCAGTGAGCAACAAGTACAAGTATGTGTGTATATGTCTGTCTGTCTGTATGTGTGTGTATGTGTGTGTGTGTGTGTGTGTGTGTGTTCTGCGCGTGTGTGTGTGTGTTCTGTGTGTGTGCGTGTGTTCGTACGCGTGTGCGTGTGTTTGTGTGTACATGTTGTTGGGCTGGCGGTCTGTACATGTGTGGTGTGTGTGGGTGTGCACATGCCTACACTACCTATGTTGTTGTTACTAGGGTTCATGGGAGTGCACGCCACTACATATGGCATGTAGGCACGATAACATCGATATTGCCAAGCACCTTGTCAAGTGTAAAGCCAAGGTAGACAAGACTGATTCGGTAAGTTGCACACCACTCTGCCTGTACATTGAAGGATGACTCAATATTGGCTCATGTACTAGTCAGAGATGCCAGACTTTGCCTGTACAGCAACCGTGTTTATGCTGGTGAACCACATTGGTGTCTATTTCAGATTGGAAAATCATAACCATTTTATTACCACAAATATCGACACCCATGGATTATTACACGATGTCCGTGACATGTACGTGCTCATTTTAGAACCGATGCTGAGGTTACTTGTAGACTAGAAGACAGTGTGTGGATAGTTGGTGATGGTGAGTAAAGTACTCTGGTAGGCTGTAGGGAATGTGAACCATGTTGTCAGGAACATGGTTGAAACTTACCATCCTAGCACACCATTTCATGCAAGAAGCATGATAATCATTCTGAGGTTATGGGTGGAGAGTATGACTAGATAATTGACTGGTGTCGGTCGAGCGTAACATTGTACATTCATTCAACCATAATGTGTATTCAGAAGTACATTTTGGAGTAGCAATGTAGCATTGCCACATGTTTCCTAGTCCAGTCAGTTTCAAACACACCTGGTCTGATATCAATGCAGACATGTAGTGTGATAGATGATGTGTACATTGCAGTTCAAAGGAGTTATGTACGTAGACTATCCATGCCTTTATTTGTGTAATAGACCATTCTCAATGCCAGAAAGTAGGAGTTTTATTTGTGTAATAGACCATTCTCATGCCAAAAAGTAATGGTTTTATTTGTGTAATAGACCATTCTCAATGCCAGAAAGTAATGGTTTTATTTGTGTAATGGACCATTCTCAATGCCAGAAAGTAATGGTTTTATTTGTGTAATAGACCATTCTCAATACCAGAAAGTAATGGTTTTATTTGTGTAATAGACCATTCTCAATGCCAGAAAGTAATGGTTTTATTTGTGTAATAGACCATTCTCAATACCAGAAAGTAATGGTTTTATTTGTGTAATAGACCATTCTCAATGCCAGAAAGTAATGGTTTTATTTGTGTAATAGACCATTCTCAATACCAGAAAGTAATGGTTTTATTTGTGTAATAGACCATTCTCAATACCAGAAAGTAATGGTTTTATTTGTGTAATAGACCATTCTCAATGTCAGAAAGTAATGGTTTTATTTGTGTAATAGACCATTCTCAATGCCAGAAAGTAATGGTTTTATTTGTGAAATAGACCATTCTCAATACCAGAAAGTAATGGTTTTATTTGGTAGTAGCAAGGTACATTCCCTAAGTGCCATTTTCCCATTGCAGGATGTTTGAGTGTGTGTGTGTGTGTGTGTGTGTGTGTGTGTGTGCCAGTGTGTGTGTGTGTGTGCGCGCGTGTGTGTGTGTGTGTTTAAAAGCCACTGTCGTGTATCGTGAGATGCTAATGTGTTCAATTGTTTTTTCCAGACCTAGCTTAGAGGAACATTGCCAATTGAGCAATCAGAGTAGCCTACATTAGAATCCCGTGACTCGCAGTAGATTGCGCATCATATTATAATACAGTCGTCCCTCTCTAATCCGGCACCTTTTGCTACGGCGTTTTCTGCTGGATTAACGAGGGTGCTGGATTAAGAAATCCTGCCCTCTGACCCGGCCCTACCGAATTGCATGCATGTATCATACGTCAAAACGCAGGGTTTTTCCGTGTCGACCCAAGTATTTGGTGCACGGCTTTATATTCTCAATTGTTCTCCGGGAATATACAGTGATAAAGTAAAACAGAGAACATGTTCACATGTACTCTTGCACACACACGCACACGCACACACACCTGAAATTGGCAGGACACTACTCCTTGCTAAAATAAGAAAGTATGGTTGACTGCTTAGCCGTTGTCTCCTGGACAACATTGACCAGACTGGCCTAGCCTGGCCTGGCAAGGAGCGCACCTGTACGATCGTACTGCCGGATTATGAAATCAAACTACGTGCAGTTTGAGTGATTCGTTTCAAAACGTCACTGCCGGAGGCGGAATTCAAGTGCCGGATTAAGAAGTAGGAATTGAACGAAATAAATCGGTTTCGTCAGAAAGTGCGCCGGTTGGCAAGGGTTCCGGATAAACAAGTGCCGGATTAGAGAGGGACGACTGTATAAGAAACAGACTGCAGATAGATTGCACATATGAATGTCTGATCTTGTCTTTACCTGCACACAGACTGGTGACCTTCCTGTTCATGACGCTGCTGACACTGGACATCTGGAAGTCGTCAAGTATCTACTAGATGTCCAGCCCGACATGGTCTCCGTAGAGGGCAGAGTGAGTTAAGAAATCTCTTGAACTGTAATGATCACGAGTCTATAAGCAAAGAGTGTGCACCTTTGGCAAATGAGTGCAGGCGCGTACGCATGGGGTAGGTTCCTGTTGCCCGGAAACCCCTCTAATGTGCTAAACGCACCTCTTTGCAATGATGTTTTCAATGCAATTTAGTGAGTGCACCGGTGAGCGTGCAACACTAGTACATGTACATGTACTTCCTCCGCGTCATTAAAACTGTCACTTCCCACAGCGATTTTTCCAAATTGTTTTCTACACTAGAAAGGCAAAGAAATCAGCTAGAATTTGAGGCAGAGCATTGTCAATGGACCAAGCTTTAGTTTGTGGCCTCCCGCTTCGCTGCACTTGCAGCTAAGGTCAACGTCTTCATCAGAGTTTGAGACAGACCCTTCAGCACTCAACAATACACTGAACAAGACGCACGTTCAAATTCAGGTCAAGAAACTTTGTTTTCAAGCGATCCATGCCTCCAGGTGGCAGGCGATGAAGACAAGCTAGCATTTTTCAAGTACGCTGTAACGACCTTCCAGCGGGATAGGGTAAGCAGTTCCGCACCTTCTTTCCTTGGCAAGCGCTTCGCCGATTTTGTTGGGGTTTTCAGACCTGCTACCTTTGCAGCAACATGCGCCACAAGTACCACATTTTAGGAATTTGAGAAATATAAGTTTCCGTGCATGGCACGGTAAGTGAAGTTAGCAACCCACCAACAATTACATTCCTAACATAATTTGCACGTACTTGCCATAGCGCATCACGTGCCCGTGCAGAACACGCACTCCGAACTCCCGCGCCCCGGCACGGGACCACGCGGAGCATGCGCATTACTCCGGCTCTCGATGCTGTTTCTTCTTCATCCTTGCTGCGCCAACACTGTCAGATCGCTTGACAACCTTGGCCAGTTTTTGAGCTTGCTCTTCGCTTTGCTGTGCTGACGGTCAAATTGTTTGACTATCGCGGCCAGTTTCTGATCAATATCCGATCAACCAGGTCTCTGTCAGTGAGCGATGTCCAGCCAAAACGCTCCGTTTGCTTGGCTGCGCTGACGCAGTGACGGTCAAATTGTTTGACAATCGCGGCCAGTTTCTGATCAATATCCGATCAACCATGTCTCTGTCAGTGAGCGATGTCCAGCCATAACGCTCTTTGCTTTGCTGCCTTGACGGTCAAATTGTTTGACAATCGCGGCCAGTTTCTGATCAATATCCGATCAACCATGTCTCTGTCAGTGAGCGATGTCCAGCCAAAATGCGCTCTGCTGAGCTGCGAAACGCACTGGCATCCCGCAATTATTTAGACCCGACAGGAACAAAACCTACTCCGCGGACTCGCCTGCTCGAGTTGAAGTTGGCTCCAGACTACTGTACGCGAGGACTTGGCCGCTCCGGCAGCGGAGCAGAACCTAGCCGAGGCAACTGCAGCCCCATCCCTGGCCTGGGAGACTTTAGTCGGGAGGAGGTTCGCGACGCTTGGAGCACGTACCGGTATTGTGCGACTGACGCAGCAGCACACCCCTCCAGGGCCCCCGGAGCTGTTTTCGCACCAGCCCATAATCTTGAAGATGGCTCGGAAATTTAGGTCCCTGATGCTGAGCTCTCCTCTCTAAAGCTGACACCAAGTATTCCTGGCGGCTTTGGCCGGTTTCCCCTCATGTCTGGCCCCGGCTTGGCATTTTTGGGAAGGTTCGTACCATGTAGATAAGGCACCACCATTTGGCCTTAGAAGTTAGATCCTCCCCCTTCCGTTCAACAGACCGGCTGATGTGGACTCTCAGCCCAACGGCGACTCTGCAATGATCCTGCTAAGTCTCTTACTCGTCTTCGAGTACAGCGCTTCCGGACTCTCAGCCCATCTACCGACGCAGTGCTGACACACCCTGTACAGTCCACCCTCCAGCAGTTGACGACGCAACCATGGACCTCATCCGCCAGGGCCTGGCGGCCAGTTCCAGCATAACATGCGCTTCACTGCCGCGCTCCGAACACTTGTCGCCCTGCGCCAGGGCAAGCCACACTCAGGGACTGATCAGTGCCGGCAGCATTGTTCCAGATCCTGTACTTTGAGTGCATTGCCCACTGTGCTAATGGCTAGCCGCATTGGACGGCACTCACATCAAATGCAGTGTAATAGTAATGCAGATAAATCCTGTTTGGGTCAGGTTGTCAGCGCTGCCGGACTCGCGTCCCAACTGCCGAAGTGGTGCCGACACAACCAGCGCAGTCCACCCTCCAGCAGTTGACGACGCAACCATGGACCTCATCCGCCAGGGCCTGGCGGACAGCTCCAGCATGGCATGCGCTTCGCCGCAGCACTCCGAACGCTTGTCGCCCTGCGCCAGGGCAAGCCAACCTCGGGGACTGATCAGTGCCGGCAGCATTGTTCCAGATCCTGTACTTCGAGCACATCGCCCACTATGCTAATGTGTTCAATTGTTTTTTCCAGACCAAGCTTAGAGGAACATTGCCAATTGAGCAATCAGAGTAGCCTACAAGTACATTAGAATCCCGTGACTCGCAGTAGATTGCGCATCATATTGTATAAGAAACAGACTGCAGATAGATTGCACATATAAATGTCTGATCTTGTCTTTACCTGCACACAGGCTGGTGACCTTCCTGTTCATTACGCTGCTGCGACTGGACATCTGGAAGTCGTCAAGTATCTACTAGATGTCCAGCCCGACATGGTCTCCGTAAAGGACAAAGTGAGTTAAGAAATCTCTTCAACTGTAATGGTCACGAGTCTATAAGCAAAGAGTGTGCACCTTTGGCAAATGAGTGCAGGCGCGTACACATGGGGTAGGTTCCTGTTGCCCGGAAACCCCTCTAATGTGCTAAACGCACCTCTTTGCAATGATGTTTTCAATGCAGTTTAGTGAGTGCACCGGTGAGCGTGCAACACTAGTACATGTACATGTACTTCCTACGCGTCATTAAAACTGTCACTTCACACAGCGATTTTTCCAAATTGTTTTCTACACTCGAAAGGCAAAGAAATCAGCTAGAAATTGAGGCAGAGCATTGTCAATGGACCAAGCTTTAGTTTGTGGCCTCCCGCTTCGCTGCACTTGCAGCTAAGGTCAACGTCTTCATCAGAGTTTGAGACAGACCCTTCAGCACTCAACAATACACTGAACAAGACGCACGTTCAAATTCAGGTCAAGAAACTTTGTTTTCAAGCGATCCATGCCTCCAGGTGGCAGGCGATGAAGACAAGCTAGCATTTTTCAAGTACGCTGTCACGACCTTCCAGCGGGATAGGGTAAGCAGTTCCGCACCTTCTTTCCTTGGCAAGCGCTTCGCCGATTTTGTTGGGGTTTTCAGACCTGCTACCTTTGCAGCAACATGCGCCACAAGTACCACATTTTAGGAATTTGAGAAATATAAGTTTCCGTGCATGGCACGGTAAGTGAAGTTAGCAACCCACCAACAATTACATTCCTAACATAATTTGCACGTACTTGCCATAGCGCATCACGTGCCCGTGCAGAACACGCACTCCGAACTCCCGCGCCCCGGCACGGGACCACGCGGAGCATGCGCATTACTCCGGCTCTCGATGCTGTTTCTTCTTCATCCTTGCTGCGCCAACACTGTCAGATCGCTTGACAACCTTGGCCAGTTTTTGAGCTTGCTCTTCGCTTTGCTGTGCTGACGGTCAAATTGTTTGACTATCGCGGCCAGTTTCTGATCAATATCCGATCAACCAGGTCTCTGTCAGTGAGCGATGTCCAGCCAAAACGCTCCGTTTGCTTGGCTGCGCTGACGCAGTGACGGTCAAATTGTTTGACAATCGCGGCCAGTTTCTGATCAATATCCGATCAACCATGTCTCTGTCAGTGAGCGATGTCCAGCCATAACGCTCTTTGCTTTGCTGCCTTGACGGTCAAATTGTTTGACAATCGCGGCCAGTTTCTGATCAATATCCGATCAACCATGTCTCTGTCAGTGAGCGATGTCCAGCCAAAATGCGCTCTGCTGAGCTGCGAAACGCACTGGCATCCCGCAATTATTTAGACCCGACAGGAACAAAACCTACTCCGCGGACTCGCCTGCTCGAGTTGAAGTTGGCTCCAGACTACTGTACGCGAGGACTTGGCCGCTCCGGCAGCGGAGCAGAACCTAGCCGAGGCAACTGCAGCCCCATCCCTGGCCTGGGAGACTTTAGTCGGGAGGAGGTTCGCGACGCTTGGAGCACGTACCGGTATTGTGCGACTGACGCAGCAGCACACCCCTCCAGGGCCCCCGGAGCTGTTTTCGCACCAGCCCATAATCTTGAAGATGGCTCGGAAATTTAGGTCCCTGATGCTGAGCTCTCCTCTCTAAAGCTGACACCAAGTATTCCTGGCGGCTTTGGCCGGTTTCCCCTCATGTCTGGCCCCGGCTTGGCATTTTTGGGAAGGTTCGTACCATGTAGATAAGGCACCACCATTTGGCCTTAGAAGTTAGATCCTCCCCCTTCCGTTCAACAGACCGGCTGATGTGGACTCTCAGCCCAACGGCGACTCTGCAATGATCCTGCTAAGTCTCTTACTCGTCTTCGAGTACAGCGCTTCCGGACTCTCAGCCCATCTACCGACGCAGTGCTGACACACCCTGTACAGTCCACCCTCCAGCAGTTGACGACGCAACCATGGACCTCATCCGCCAGGGCCTGGCGGCCAGTTCCAGCATAACATGCGCTTCACTGCCGCGCTCCGAACACTTGTCGCCCTGCGCCAGGGCAAGCCACACTCAGGGACTGATCAGTGCCGGCAGCATTGTTCCAGATCCTGTACTTTGAGTGCATTGCCCACTGTGCTAATGGCTAGCCGCATTGGACGGCACTCACATCAAATGCAGTGTAATAGTAATGCAGATAAATCCTGTTTGGGTCAGGTTGTCAGCGCTGCCGGACTCGCGTCCCAACTGCCGAAGTGGTGCCGACACAACCAGCGCAGTCCACCCTCCAGCAGTTGACGACGCAACCATGGACCTCATCCGCCAGGGCCTGGCGGACAGCTCCAGCATGGCATGCGCTTCGCCGCAGCACTCCGAACGCTTGTCGCCCTGCGCCAGGGCAAGCCAACCTCGGGGACTGATCAGTGCCGGCAGCATTGTTCCAGATCCTGTACTTCGAGCACATCGCCCACTATGCTAATGGGCAGCCGCATTGGACGGCACTCACATAAATTGCAGTGTAATAGTAATGCAGATAAATCCTGTCTGGGTCCGGTTGTCAGCGCGTCTGGACTTGCAGCCCAACTGCCGAAGCGGGGCCGGCACAACCAGCGCAGTCCACCCTTCAGCAGTCGATGACGCAACCATGGACCTCATCCGCCAGGGCCTGGCGGGCAGCTCCAGCACAACATACGCTTCGCTGCAGCGCTCCGAACGCTTGTCACCCCGCACTAGGGCAAGCCATACCCAGTGACTGATCAGTGCCAGCAGCATTGTTCCATATCCGGTACGTTGAGCGCATTGCCCACTATGCTAATGGGCAGCCGCATTGGACGGCACTCACATCAATTGTAGTGTAATAGTAATGTAGATAAATCCTGTTTGGGTCAGGTTGTCGACGCTTCTGGACTCGCAGCCCAACTGCCGACGCAGTGGCGACACAACCAGCGCAGTCCACCCTTCAGCAGTTGACGACGCGGGCCGCAACTTTGGACGATCTGGCTGGCGTACAGCACTACCTGCAGTCCACCGTGCCTAGCCCGCACAACCGCGCCATGCTCTGGAGCGCCGTGACTCTGGCCTTCCACGGGCTGCTCAGAGTCAACGAGTACACCTTCACGGCACGGGGCGCCGGCCTTGAGTACAGCGATGCGACCATGTACCCAGACCGCGTGGAGCTGCGCCTGCGTGTGACAAAGACGAGCCAATACGGCAGCGGCCAGGACATTAGCGTCAGGAGGACAGGCTCGCCGACATGCCCGCACACGGCAGCCACCAGCTACCTAGCAGCCCGTGGCTCGGCACCTGGCCCGCTCTATCGCTATGATGACGGCACGCCCCTGAAGCCGCATAACATCAACAGGCTACTACAAACAGCCTTGCCTAACAAAGACGTGCGCAGCCACAGCCTCAGACGAGGCGCTGCAACGCTGGCAGGCAAAGCTGGCGTGCCTGAGTACGTGCTGAAGACCGCCGGCAGGTGGCAAAGCTCTGCCTACCTCCGCTATGTCCGCACCCCTGTCGCAGACAGAGCATTGCCAGCGGCATTGTTCTAGTCTCTGCCCGTTATGCTAATGGGTAGCCGCATTGGACGGCCCTAGCAACAGCTGTAGTGTACATGTGATATACCTATTATACTATAACTATAGTAACGCTACTATAACTATAGTAATGCCGATAATTCCTGTTTGGGTCATGTTGTATTTTGGGAGAACGGTAGGGATCGTGGGTCAGGCCGGCATTGAGCCAAGTGCGCCTACATGTGCTCACAAGTGCATCCCTACCGTATGCGTGTATTGACACGCCGGGCAATTGTTGCCCCCATTAGCCCTGGCATTGGCCAGTCTAACGCACATTGGTGCTTGCGATACTACGGCATTGGTCCATAGTATTGCATACTGCATGCGGCAATTGTTGCCTGCGATACTACGGCATTGGTCCATAGTATTGCATACTGCATGCGGCAATTGTTGCCTGCGATACTACGGCATTGGTCCATAGTATTGCATACTGCATGCGGCAATTGTTGCCTATGCCCTGATAATACAACGCGTAATAGCTCCCAAACAGGTCGGCTTGTGTGGTTGTTAAATATAAGTTTCCGTGCATGGCACGGTAAGTGAAGTTAGCAACCCACCAACAATTACATTCCTAACATAATTTGCACGTACTTGCCATAGCGCATCACGTGCCCGTGCAGAACACGCACTCCGAACTCCCGCGCCCCGGCACGGGACCACGCGGAGCATGCGCATTACTCCGGCTCTCGATGCTGTTTCTTCTTCATCCTTGCTGCGCCAACAGTCAGATCGCTTGACAACCTTGGCCAGTTTTTGAGCACCACCACCCACCCCATCATCTCTAACCATCATTCTATTCTAAGCCATCCCGGAAGGGAGAACGGTAGGGATCGTGGGTCAGGCCGGCATTGAGCCAAGTGCGCCTACATGTGCTCACAAGTGCATCCCTACCGTATGCGTGTATTGACACGCCGGGCAATTGTTGCCCCCATTAGCCCTGGCATTGGCCAGTCTAACGCACATTGGTGCTTGCGATACTACGGCATTGGTCCATAGTATTGCATACTGCATGCGGCAATTGTTGCCTGCGATACTACGGCATTGGTCCATAGTATTGCATACTGCATGCGGCAATTGTTGCCTGCGATACTACGGCATTGGTCCATAGTATTGCATACTGCATGCGGCAATTGTTGCCTATGCCCTGATAATACAACGCGTAATAGCTCCCAAACAGGTCGGCTTGTGTGGTTGTTAACACTTTGTTCTTGCCATTGTCAACCTCAGCATTTCATATTCAGGAGAGATACCAGGAGTCTTACACTCGAGCTTGCAGCTTTGATAAATGCCCACGCGAACGATGTGGGACAGCACGAGCTCCAGAAAAGCGATATGCGCTCTGGGGCGGACTTGTGCGAAGCGCGATGAATTTGCTTGGTGCGAAAGAGAGCTCCGACAAAGTCCGAGACCACCACGGCTTCAGTAAAAAGTAGACATTGCGCAGGAAGGGTCGCACCAATGTTCGA